ATCGAAAATTCTGCGCGCGGAACAGATTTCGGAGCGCCGCGCCGGCGGCGAGCAGGAATCGATATATCGAAAATTCCGCGCGCGGAACAGATTTGGAGCGCCGCGCCGGAAAAAATAGTTTTGACACAAACGGCGCAAATATATCGAAAACCGGCGCGGAATCCGGAAATTCAGAGATTTTCATCGAAAACGGGTTTTTTGTTTCCGCGCGCCAGAAAAAATTCCGCGCGCGCAAGAAAAGGGTTTTGACACTAACGGCGTTCCATAGTCTTTGCCTGCAAAAAGTAAACATCGGGATTGGGAACCACTCACTGCCACTATATGTTTACATTTTGTTTCGATATATATCGATATGTACTGGGTGTTCAAAAAGTAGTAGTTTTTTGGCAGGGATATTGGCAGCTTCACGGACGTAAAAAGGTGTTTGCATTTCGGCATTCGGGCACCTTGGAGTATTTTGATGATTTGATGACGTAGGTGGGTACAGCTGGGTACAGGGACGTCCCCTTCACACTGTACCGACCTACGTCATCAAGTCATCAAAAAATTCCAAGATGCCCGAAATGCAAACACCTCCTTTTTGCGAGTATCAGTATTATTGACAGAAAGTAACTTTCATGGTGTTGGGCTCTAATGTTGGGCTGCAACATCATCAAACGTACCTGTGTTAAACTTTGTATGTCATGGCCGCTGGAAAAATCAATGGAAAAATTGGATTTGAAGGAAAGACTCCATTCCTTATTGGTGTTGCTGGAGGCACAGCGAGCGGGAAGGTAGCATATGTAATACAGATCATTCATCAATACTTATTACCAACTGGATCGCATTTAGCAGAAAGGAACTAGTGCGATTACAGTGTTTCCAAAATCCTGCAACTTCTTCTTTTCTTGTAAGAATACTTTATATATCGACGGTGAAAGTCGGCAATCACATAACTCGTTTGCGGTGTCTGAAAATCTCCGCCTCTAAGTCATTTTTTTAAAGGAGAACAAATTGATATTATTTCTTGAAGTTTTTGCAGAATTTTCTTCGCATTGAGAAGAAAAATCATGACAGTTTTGAAGATTGCCGTTGAGTAGTTTTCCATTTAAAAGATAAAGTATGACAGGAAGTCTGCGAGGTCGCAAATTGAGTTATGTGATTGCCGACTTTCACCGTCGCTATGTCCAGTTTCCAAAGGACCTTGCACACTCCTTACGGAAAGTGCACCATGATCGATTTTTAATTTTTTTACTGCAATCAATTCATCTCAAGATGTCAATCCAAAGGGATCATTGCGCCAACTTCTAACGATGCACCGTTTTCGCACGATACGCCTGGAATCCTTCCATTACTCGGCGATAAAGAGTCAAAAAGAACAAGGCAGTCGAGAAAAAGTTCGATGGGAATAAGGATAGATGTAGCATAGCGAGTGTCTGTCTTCTAATCTATTCCTGCTTACTCCTGGGTATATCTCCCTCCCACTCTTGTCCGTTTGACGTTCACTGTTTTTCTCCAACTTTCCTGTTCTTATGCTCCTAACGAATCTGATTCGGATAGTCAAGCTAAAAGGTGTGCAGAATCTGAGATAAGACTGCCGCTCGGTGCTGGAGTTCCCCTGATTTCTTTGTTGACATACAGCGGACTGTTCACTCGAGTGCCGAAATGTAGAATCTTTCTGACTCTTTGTTGCCAAATAATTGAAGCGCACTGGTCGTATTGTGCGGAAATGATGCATCGTAGAGAGTTTGCGCGAAGATGACTTTTGATCAGCATCTCGAGATGAATTGAATGCAATGAAAAAATTCAAAACCGATTGTGGTGCACTATCCCAAAAGGAGTGTGCAGGGTCCTCTACACAATTACTTTTCTTTAAAATGAACAATTTTTTGTTGGGAAGAAAAAACCATTTGCTATTCTTGGAGGGTTTTTTTGATACTCATGAAGAAGCAATATTTTTACAACACGGTAATCATGCTGGTTCCTTTTTGCTTAATGCGATCCAACTTTCTCCTCCTATCTGCACCCCCACTCCATTACTATGCCCTGAGTCAAGTGGGAATAATTTGCAACTGCAGACCAATTTTAATGAAAACATGCAGACCGTGAGAATCGCATGTCTTTAAACAGTAGTGCCACATTGAAGCTTGTTCAGCTCAAAACATCGTCATATTCTCATTTTCAACGTCTCGGTGCATAGTTTATGTGGGTTTGCAATTGTGAGGATGGAAGTTTGTCTGCTTCTAGTGTGTAAGCAGTGTCACCTTAAGACAAAATTTGCAAATTCCAACTAGGACCTGTCGCAGATAATAACATTCAGTTGATATCACTGAGCAAGATGTGGTAGTGTTACCATTGAGAGTGAAAAGGCCATAACGACGTTTCTATGATGTGATGTTCAAGGGTCGTCCATGACTTGCGTAAGGCTCTTGGAGGGGGAGGGGGGTCTCTATTAGCCTTACATTGCCTTACGTGGGGGAGGGCTGAGTGTGAAGCGTAAAAGCACTTCTAAGCGTAAGCTTTGCAGCCTAAATTCAAGGAAAATGCATAAATTCATTTATCCTTAGGTTGATAACGAAATTCAAGATGAAATAGAGGAAATCAGCATATCATCGATTGCTACCTAACTGATCGGACCATGCTCCTGTCATTCCTCTCGATTCCCACTTCTACACTCCGTGTGATGATCAGTAATGACTTCATCCTCATGTCAACTTTATACATTTAATTTTTCCGTTATTCCAAAGACAAAAAAATCTTCAATTTTGCTCCACATTGTTTTGATCATTACCATTTCCTATGAACTTACTTGAAAAATTTAGTTTCACTAGTAAAAATGTTGGCATTAAAGTTTCATTCTTTTTCTAATTGAAATAGCAATGCTTTTAGATCTGCAATAATTGAAAGAAGGGGGGGGGTCAGTCGAGCTTTATGTAATTTTCATAGGGGGGAAGGGATGCCTTACAGTGCCGTAAGAGGGGAAGGGGGGCTCTAAGAATGGGGGAAAATGCGGTACATATTTTATGGATGGCTACTAGTGGGTGAAACTCACAAGAGGAGGCTACTGATTGTCTTCCTCTGATCGATTTCAAATTTGGCAGAGAGGTAGAATAGGGAAATATAAGAACGGGTATTTTTTTTTGTGCCAATGCCCAGCCGTTTTTGAGTCAGGAATTTTTGAAGTTTCTGTTCTTTCGTGTCAGCGACACGCCCAAGTTGAGCCTACTGTGTGTGCACCCTTTAATATGATTTGAGTGGCATACTTCTCATGTGAGCTGGTTGGCCAAACGCACTATGTATCGAAGGATAGAGCAGAGGGGACATAGGGTTACCATGTGACTGTCGACCATCATATGATGCAGGGATATATGTTTTCCAGGGTATTTTTTCAAGTAGAAGCTGAATTTTGTATTAAAAAAACGTCAAAGTCGACAGTTTATATGAGAAATCTTTTTTTTTTTTTTCATCACTGAAAAATATGAAAAAAAGGTTCTTGTGGTATGTACCTATTAATATCACTGGTCTGCACCTGAAAGAAAACCCTGCGCCTGTGATGGTTGATTCCTATGTAATATTTAGCGCTGGTTCCATAAACGACCTCAATTTTTTCCCCATACCCTCTCATTTTCCAGAAAATTAAGATTTTCCTCTATCAACAGATTTTACGATGAAAATTCTATTTTCTGGGCAATTGGTGTGTGACAGGGAAAAACAAATGTTTTCGGATTTAGAAGCCCAAAATACATTCAAGATTATGTGTGGCATACCTGGAAAACGTTCTCCTCTGTATCTGGTAACGAGGTGTTTTCAGTGAAATGACCTAATCCGTCCGTACATCTCAATGTAAAGTTGGTTCGTTTATTTTGCATTTGAAAGGATGGACAAATGCTTTAATTTAAGTACTTAATACAAACTTCACATGGATTTTTAGCTGATAAAGCCGAAAATAATCTTTGTTTTTATTCACAGCTCACTCAATTTCCGCAAAATTGAGCTTCCATAAAACTAAAATTTTCGGTCACTAAGAAAGTCCTTTTTNCTTTTTGGGGGGGGGGGGGATTACTCGATTTTCCAGAAAATCGGCGGGTGATTGAAAAAGCTGAGGCCGTTTTCAGCTTTGTAGCAGCCAGAAATAGTGTTCTGCCTTCCCCCTAAAATTTTAAGAGCCACCTTGGCCGGAAAGCCCAATTTTTAGGGGAGGGTATGGATTCGATCGACATAAATCGATCGAAAAATGAAAACGTGAATCGATCGACATGAATCGATCGACACCGATTCGATCGACAAATTGGTAAAAAACCGGTGTCGATTCGATCGACATGAATCGATCGAAAAATGACAACGTGAATCGATCGACACCGATTCGATCGACAAATTATTAAAAAACCGGTGTCGATTCGATCGACATGAATCGATCGAAAAATGAAAACGTGAATCGATCGACACCGATTCGATCGACAGTTAATTCAAAAACACCCGGATCGATTCGATCGACATGAATGGATCGAAAAATCAAAACGTGAATCGATCGACGTGAATCGATCGACACCGATTCGATCGACAACCGTGAATGGATCGACAAACCCGTGAGTCGATCGACAAATCCGTGAGTCGATCGACAAAAGCCGTGAATCGATCGACAAACCCCGTGAATCGATCGACAAGCCCGTGAATGGATCGACAAACCCGTGAGTCGATCGACAAATCCGTGAGTCTATCGACAAAAGCCGTGAATCGATCGACAAACCCCGTGAATCGATCGACAAGCCCGTGAATGGATCGACAAACCCGTGAATCGATTGACAAACCCGTGAGTCGATCGACAATCCCGTGAGTCGATCGACAAATCCGTGAGTTGATCGACAAAAGCCGTGAATCGATCGACAAACCCCGTGAATGGATCGACAAACCCGTGAATGGATCGACAAACCCGTGAATGGATCGACAAACCTGTGAATGGATCGACAAATCCGTGAGTCGATCGATTTACGTCGATCGATTCACGTTTTGATTTTTCGATCCTTTCATATGGAATTATTTCCGTTAACCTCGCGCGCGTTCACAAAGAAAGTCGGCGCGTGGTTGCGCCACTGGCGCGAAGCAATTCCATAGCGCGCGACATAGGTATCGCTGCGCGCTGTCAGTGTTCCTCCGCGCGAGGTGTAACTCGACGCGCGCGAGAGCAAACCCGATGCGCGCCATGTAGGATCGCATGGCTCAAGGTTGTATGTTGCCAAACGTCTTTTTAATTAAAGTTTAAAACCTAACCTAACCTAACCCAACCTAACCTAACCTAGCCTAACCTAACCTAACCTTACCTAACCTAACCTTACCTAACCTAACCTTACCTAACCTAACCTAACCTTACCTAACCTAACCTAACCTAACCTACTATTAAGCTAAAATTAAATCTACATTTGGCAGCCGTGTCTTGACCTTGTTAAGGCTCTGTAGCAGCGCGCGAGAGAGATTTTCGCCCGCGCGAGGTATTGTCGTGACCTTGGAGATTTCTTCGCGCGCGGGGAGATTTTTTCACGCGCGCGAAGATTCTTTGCGCGCGCCGACTCAACTGCTCACGCGACGACTCTGCTGCTCACGCGCCGACTTTTTTCGTGAACGCGCGCGAGGTTTACGGAAATAATTCCATACATTCATGTCGATCGAATCGATTCGGGTGTTTTTGAATTAACTGTCGGTCGAATCGGTGTCGATCGATTCATGTCGATCGATTCACGTTTTCATTTTTCGATCGATTCATGTCGATCGAATCGACACCGGTTTTTTAATAATTTGTCGATCGAATCGGTGTCGATCGATTCACGTCGATCGATTCACGTTTTCATTTTTCGATCCATTCATGTCGATCGAATCGACACCGGTTTTTTAACAATTTGTCGATCGAATCGGTGTCGATCGATTCATGTCGATCGATTCACGTTTTCATTTTTCGATCGATTCATGTCGATCGAATCCATACCCTCCTTTTTGGGAGCCAAATTACTTAAATGTTTGCTTATGGGCCATGGTGAATGAAAATTTGCGGAAGGCATGAATGACTCCGCTTCATCATAACACATCAAAAGGGAAAAACCGGGTTTTAAGGGTACCATGTTTATACACTGTTAATAATATTAAAAATGAGGATGGCAAATATGGCAATGGGTGTTTCTCTCTCCTTATGACATCAATAATTGAGGACAAACCCTAAAATTTGATACAAAAATGCAGGATAGTTAAAATATAGCGGTAACGGCAAGGCTAAAAATGTACCTGATTTTCGCCTTTATGTGCACGTTCGGGTGGTTCTTATTTTTCGACTTTTCGAAAATCAAATGTCTGACCCCTCTAAGAGTTGTCATTTGGTGTGAAAATCGTGCGATTGCGCAGATTTTTCTTACCATGCTCCCCACACGGTGTGCCTTTTTTCTACCTTTAAAATGTCGCTACGGCTTTGAAACTTTTTATAGTAACACATTTTTTAGGGTACTTTACGAAAAAAATAACACAATTTACCCCACTACTTTTAAATTGCCCTCTTCCTCCCATCAAAGTGGCCACGTCGTGCGATTTCGCCGATTTTTCCTAACATTTTCCTCGCACGGTTTGCCTGAACGAATTAAAATTTTTTAACGAATTAAAAGCAATGACGCTTCAGAATCATAAAGTAGAGTGTCTGCCGAGTTATTAAAGCCAAGGAGAAATCCAATTTGTCGAGCTCCTGGAAAATAAAGTCGACTTAAAGGTATTAAATGGCTTAAAGGGGCAACTTACCGATGGTAAATCCCGTGATATCACTGAAAATAAATTTCCTCGATAGTCATAATGCCTAGGTTTCTTGAATATGGTTTTGTTAAGTACCGTCAGTCGGGGCTATTTGGGAAATGCGGGTCTATTTGGGAATTAGCGGATAAAAATAATTGTTGGCAATGCTGTGGACTCCATCTGTCTCATAAAACTATTCGCGTATGGTGGCGCTATCTGCATTAATTCGAGAGCAAAGACATTGAATCACGTAGACCGTGCGTCCGGCTCGGTTTAGTACTGGTGGAGCGAAGCAAGTCTCTTGGAGCCCCATGATGGGCGGGCGGGGAAGGGGAGAGAGCGTGTGTCCCAAGCACTCGAAGAGACTGCAGAGAGGCAATGGAGAATTCATGCCCGCGATCGGTTTTTCACGAATATCTCGTTTAGAGTCCATTTGCAGAGAAAATTCTTAAGAAGAAAAATTTTAGAACACATAATTCTACACCCGAATAGCATTGTTACATTTTTCCGAACTAATTATTAACCGAGGAAGAAAACCTCACAATCCGACAAAAATTCACTGGAGCCGCTACTGCGCATGCGTAGATGTGCGCAACTGGGACACACAAAATCATCGATGCGGGTCGGCGCCACCCATTCATCACATGCGAATTTTTAAAAGTTGCTTCGCCTTTCCGTAACACAGGAAGCACGGTCTACGTGATTAAATGTCTTTGTTCGAGAGTACTTCTACGTCGCCAAATAACGAATCCGATGTTTTCATGAGTGCTAGTATAACAATATTGTTTATCACTACTTTTCGTGATCTTTTGAGGTTATGTCCAACTCTTGCATCCCAGCCGGACCGACTGCTTCATTTGGCAATTTTGATTTTTCCAGTCATTTACTATCATCAAGACTATATCCTGAAAATTTCAGATTTTTTTCATGAATTCTTAAGGAGTTATAAGATTTTTTCTGTGTTGGGGCAATTTGGGAAGTATAGACCCTGTGCGAAGTGAGAAATCAAATGGAAGCCAAGGAGCCATTTAGAAACGTTCCAAAGAGCGTAGAATCTTATCATTCATTTGTTTATTCATTTTAGGTATTCGAAGATATTTTCGGGAACTTGATATACATTTTCTTGAGGGATTTTAAATTTCGTCAATACCCTGTGTTACTTTATAAAAAAATTATATATTTTCATGAATTTGTTCAGTTTTTGTACCAAAATACATTTTTTAAAAATTTAGTCTACCTTCCCAAATAGCCCCCTCCTGTATGAGGTTATTTGATACCAGCTCATAACATATGGCTTTAGTGCTATTTCCCAAATTACCCCCATCAAGGGGCAATTTGGGAAAAATCTTTCAAAATTTTTTACACCCCCCCCCCCAAAAGGATAGGTAAAATAAGTCAACCCTAATTTCCTATGCTTTGGGGTCAGAACTTTCCAAAATGCCCTATTGTTTTGAAATTAGTGGGAGATTTCTAGTTAAAAATTCTAAAAAACTGCAAAAAATTTCCCAAATAGCCCCGATTGACGGTACGTCTTTTAAGGAATCGATACACCGATTCGCTTTATCGAATATTCCCGATCTTATAAGGAACAATAATTCTTTTGTTACTCAATACTGCCAAATTGATACCGGAAACCACCAATGTTCCTTGTAAAACCGGGAAAAATCGATAAAGCGAATCGATGTATCGATTCTTTAAAAGACATACTTAACAAAACCATATTCAAGAAACCTAGGCATTATGACTATCGAGGAAATTTATTTTCAGTGATATCACGGGATTTACCATTGGTAAGTTGCCCCTTTAAGCCATTTAATACCTTTAAGTCGACTTTATTTTCCAGGAGCTCGACAAATTGTTTTTCTTCTTGGCTTAAATAACTCGGCAGACACTCTACTTTATGATTTTGAAGCGTCATTGCTTTTGATTTGTTAAAAAATTCTAATTCGTTCAGGCAAACCGTGCGAGGAAAATGTTAGGAAAAATCTGCGAAATCGCACGACGTGGCCACTTTGAGGGGGGCTAGGGGGCATTTTAAAAAAGGTGGGGTAAATTGTGTTATTTTTCTCGTAAAGTTCCTTAAAAAATATATCACCTCCAAAAATTTAAAAGCCAATGCTACATTTTAATGGGGAGAAAAAATTGATGAAAATGACGAAAAAGCGCAATTGTTCGAAATTTGAAGTTCCCGCTTGGAGACTCGTCGGCCCCGGCGGCACCTCTTATGATGATCCGATTGGGCTGAAATTTTTTGTAGGTTCTTTTAACACTAAATGACAACACTTAGGGGGGTCAGACATTTGATTTTCGAAAAGTCGAAAAATAAGAACCACTCTAAGTAGTGGGCAGTGGGCACCAAACCTTTTTTTACATGCTTCGTAATCACGGTACACTCTACTACAGGTATGGACATAAGGGGTGCCGAAGTGGCAGGGCTGAGAATATAGGCCATCGAGTGACGTCGCAAGTCGTACCATTTTTGCCGCGCAGTTCAACATGAGGTTCTGGCAGGTCTGGTAGCTTCAATAAGCTATCAGATGAATTAAAAAAAATCGATGAAACTCAAAATAACGAAAAACTTAACGAAGAACTCGAAAAAATATGTAACCCGAAATTGACGAGACCCACTCTCAGAACAAAAAGTAAACAAGTTCTCAATATGGCCTTGCAGTCGTACCATTGGACGCTGTCAAATCTACGCGTTTTTAATACTTTCTAAAATTCCATTTGTCCATACCTTTAGTAGAGTGTACCTTGCTTCGTAATCACCTCTGAGGAAAACTAACGTGCTCTAAGAAACAGACGCACGTTTTGCACATGCTCTAAATTAGGAATTGAGGGGCTTGGAAGACAAGGCGCATATGTGCAGTTTTTGAACAGATTGAGGTATTGATGAACTCAAAATCTTGCTTGAAAGTATATTCTGAGAACAAGTCATAACTAAAATTCAAATTTAAAGTATCAAAAAGTGAGTAAAACTTCCTTTCTGCGGTAAGGCTCCATGTAATTTTGAAACTTCAAACAAACAATTCTTGAAGCTGCACTTATCCTCCAAGCCCCTCAATTATTCCCAACAACAGTACCAAGCAACAAGTCCACGGCATTTCTGGTCAATCCGCTTATTTAGAATATCGTCGCCCAAGTACTTCACATTGCAAAAATTGCCTGTTTACAACGGCCAATATAGAAAGCTATTGTCGATAAAAGCAGTACTTCTGACATTGGCAGTAATATATTTATTTTTTTATCAGATCGAACGTTATAAAGAAAAATCTGGAAATTGAATGTTGGCTATAGTTTTCTATTTTGCAAAAAAACACTTCATAGCCCTGATGCAGCAGACTTTAAATTCAGATTCTACCACCCAAAAATATAGGTCGGACAGCCAGTGGTCTAGTCACGTTTTTCCAGCAACAATCCACCACTGCTTGGACTAATTTTTCCTTTCCCTCCCAAGTAAATTTCTATATCTGTCTGCTGTATTATACCTCTAAAGTTTATAAAGCACAGATTGTCTGCCAATTTATTAAGCTCTTTGATGATATCGATAGTTTTAAAAATTAGTTATGGTCCTCTCCCAAAAATTAGTCATGTCTATCTCACAAAAATTGTGACTATTTTTCTCAACCTAATTAAAAATCTCTCGCGTCTATTATACAGAGAATTCTCATGCTGAGTATATTGCTTATCTAATATTCCTCAGAGAAATAAAAGATTTGTTTAGATTTCATATCCTTGTAATCACAAAGTTCTACGCAACATTCTAGGGTGGTTCATTGCTGTGACAAGACCTTTTATTTATTTATTTTTCTCAAAGTTCGATTAAAAATGTTTTAAAGAAAACTTGTAATATTTCAGTCTACAGTTTGCAAAAGAATAATGGAACAGCTTGGTCAAGTTGAAATTAACCAGAAAGAAAGACAAGTGGTGACAATCAGTCAAGATAGTTTCTACCGAGAGCTGACGGAAGATGAGAAAGTTAAAGCGGTCAAAGGACTTTATAATTTTGACCATCCAGGTACAAATTCTCTTATTTTCCCTGCTGAAAAAGTACTAATATATGTGATAATTTGGATGGTTGGATCTTATGAAAATTGACCTTAACCTCATGGTTCATGATAATGATTATATTAGGATTAAATATTACCTAATGGGATGTTGAGTAACTCAGCTTCAAATTGAGACTACAAGGTGAGAATGTCAATATAGAATTATTTCTGTAAACAAAAAAAAAAAAAAAAAAAAAAAAAAAAAAAAAAACCAACGTGTGAGTAACTGTGTGTGTACTTATACAAGTTTATCTTGGTGGCCGGCAGTCAGGTTGAGAGACCGAACCTGAATGAACAAACGATCTCATGAGCTGTTTAAAAGTCTCCTTGCATTAGATTTCAATCGATTCAAAGCTTTCATTTTTGCAAAATAAAGAAATACAAGGAAACAAATGCTTGGAAGCTATTGAAAGTATAAAATAGAAGCAGTTAGTTAAATCATTTGTTCAACGAAGTCAGTTTTGCTTACTTTTCTGCCTGTGCAAACTTGGTCTGCGGTTACTGAGAAAAACTACTTGCAGACACAGGGAACTGAAAAAAGTGTATTACAAATTACGCAAAATGCGTACTAAGGAATAAATTCCAGACATTTTCGACATGCCCAACGTGATTTTCGTGCGATTTTACACGTACAAAGTAGATAGTTTCAATTATAAAATAAGATTTTAAAGCATATAAAACACATCATTTTCTGACATTTTTTCTATCATTATTTTATGTTTTCAAGGCAGTAACGCAAGTACTCCTGCTTTTAATTCAATTTTGGTTTCCTTTTATGTATTTCCTTTTTTTTTAGATGCCTTTAACGAGCAGTTAATGTACCAAACCTTGAAAGATGTACTCGCTGGTCAACAATGTAAAGTTCCAGTTTATGACTATCTCACCAATTCAAAGTACGTATCTATCTCTCTTTTTCTCTCCTCAAATCGCTGGGCTCGGTAGGTAATGCAGATTTGTTTCGAATTCATACTCTTAGGCGTTATCTACAGTTTCATTTCTATGCAATCCGGCTCAGAAGCCACATCTGTGTCGGTGACATCGTGATTTTCCCTCTTTCTGCTCAGAAGACTTTGTTGGCTTGCCGGCAAGGAGTCTATATGAAGTCAGCGGTTTAAGTTGAAATTTGCTTCAAAGAATTGGTTATTATCTGCATCTGTGTCGAAAAGAGAGGGGTAAGAGGATACAACTGCCGGACTAAAAATCGATTCAACCCCAAGAAAGGCAGTGTCAAAACATTCATATTTTACCCATGTGAAACTTTTCTTGAGTGTATTTCGAGAATCCCATAAAAAAACCCTACCAATGGTGCTGTTTGGACGGCAATAAATTGAAGAACAAGACTTTATTGAAGGACGACTGATCATTGTCGTTGAACAAAAATTTATATGAGTCGTCTTTGCATTTTTAATAATGGCCTCTAAAAATTGTATGAAAAAATATCTGATGATATTCTTTTAATTAATATAGGAAAATAGTGACTTTAAGAAATTGCAGTGGAGCTCTATGTTTTTGTAGTTTCACCATCAATAAATAATCATAAATCAATTTATCACCTCCCTCAATGCAACTTTCAAGTATGAGCAGTGAATTATATCGTGGGAAGCACGCAATATGGATTCAGGTCGTCCTGTTATGGGGATAGCCCTCAAGCGTCTCAATGCTGGTGATATACACTCAATACCAAAAAGCATAGTGTAGACTGAAGTATATCGAATCTTTCCGACTGGCGACTTGGACTGTCAACCGTTGGAATTCGGCGGTTTACCCCGAATCTCCACCGCGGCGGTGCATGTTCGGGGATCGAGCACCTCAACGTTTTCATGTAAACAACTAAGATGGCGGCGCATATTGCGCGGGTGTTTTGAATTTACGGATCGCGGGCAAGATCCACACCTTGAGCGGACTTGAAGCAACCACGTACTTAATTGACATTTACATTTAAATGTTTTTTCAAGTTAATATTAATTCCTGATAGTCGAATGAAGGAATCAAGGAATGAAGGAAGTTTTCACCCGTTAGGACCAAAGTTGCAATGTCGCCGTTTATCATTGCATTATAGGAGAGAAAAAGTAGCAGCCAGAAGTATGAGTCATGAGCGACCATCCTCAGTAAGTAAGTAAGTAAGTAAGGCCGGGCGGGCCGGCGAGGCGCCCTCAAGGGGCCAAGGCAACTGGCAACTGCCGTCGTGCACCCCGAAGTTGGACCGTACTCCTTAACTTATCTTCGTGCTATTGACACATGGAGTATCAATTATATTCCCGCAAGGCTCAGCGGCCGTCTGATAGCCAACGGAAGGTCTTATCAAAGACTGTGGCAGACGCTGCAGAGCACGGACTTTCGGAGCACGGCCATGCCTCCACCGAGTTGGACTGTGTTGTTGCAATCTACACTGATAGGTAGCGCTGGCAGTCGCGCACACTACGAGTGATAACCGATTTTTCACAACCCAGTCGAACAGTGCAGACGGATTACTTACTGGGTGACTATGTCCCTCCCGCACCCTGTAACCTCGAAGGGTCAGGGTATTGGAGTGGCATAGTCATCCACAGTCACGATGACTGATATTTGAGTGTCCTCAAATATCAGTCACCTCCGGGGATTGAACCCGGGACCTCAGTGCTGGCAGCGAACTGCCTTGACCACTACACCACTGAGGCTGACTGCCCATCCTCAGTATCCACTCCTTATTTTCAGAGATTTTTTGTCATCACTTATCAGAGATGCAAAATGAAATTTAACATGATATGAAAGTTCACAGATTTCTAAGGAGGAGTGTACACCACTCGTAAAATTATCTTAAAATAAAATTAAGAGTTTGACTCTTCATTTTGTTAAATATTGAGATTTTACTGATTCTACGCATTCCACGGCCTACTGAGCCTATTGCAGAAGTTCCACTTTCATGAAATTTTACCTTATATGAAATTGCATGCAATTTTGCATCTCTGTTCATCATGGAGCCCATTCAGCAGGCTATCAAGACTGAGGCTGCTTTAAAAATGTGAATGGTGCAAGCAAGAAAGGGGTTGGGCCTCTAGGAGGAACATATTTTTTCAAATTAAAATTTATCACAAGGGTGAAAATTCTCACTCATCAGGCAAATAGGGATTGTCCCCTCCCCCTTATTCAGTGAGAGTACTAAAATTTTTCTGGGACAATTTTGGTCAATTTCACTGTGAAGTGTGAGTGTCAGCAGCGCCCAACTCCCTCCTCCCAGGCACAAGACCTCTCCAGTTAGATTCCCCGGGTCCAGCTGAAATAGCACAGCTACATTTAATAATTCAATCTAATCTCTCAAATCTACGTTTAGTTGTACGTTCATGGTAGACTTCAGACTTCGGTACTTGTCTGTTACGCATTTGCAAACATTTGTTTTTTTTTTGTAACTGTCTTCAAAACACCAGCGTCATTGTCCGGTGGATTTTCCATCAGAGTCTACACACTTGGACTCATCACTGACCAATTTCTCTGGAATATCTAGCATAAATGGTTAAAATGTAGATTTCACTTTGCAGATAAAGTAGCTGGGGGCCTAAGAAAAAAATTTTCACTTATATTAACTTCTGTTAGGAGTCAATTGCCTGCATTAATTCGGGTTTAAGATGTTTACAAATCGAATATTATTGTAAGATTTCACGAGAGAACGCATTGTACATTCAGCCTAATTGGCTGCTGACCTTAAAAGAAGCATGTGGACTTTAGGTCTGGCTGTGTTATGAGAGGCTGCGCAACAGAATCAAATGATTCTCTTGAGATAAATTCCTTCCCTCTAAACTAGAAAAGCCATTGATTCAGCTTTGTTCTGACCCCAACACGAGTAAAACAATCAGCCCAACAGGCAGCAAGCGTCATGAGATATTTAGGCATTTATCCTCTCTGTTATTTGCACTTGGTCTGGAAAATACTGAAATAATCGTTTATACTGCTGAGAGCAATGGAATTTGTTGGATGTTCGATGTCTTTTGCAAATATTGACACATTATGGCAAGAGGCCGGTGTTACCTCTGATGCATCAACGAAGAGGTATCACAAACAACTCCGAAGTTATAAGTTACAAGATCAAGCAGCGCTACTACATTTAAATTTGAGAATACTAGATATTCGTACCAATTAATCAGAAACGTTTGGAGACTTTTATACGTAAATTCCGGTGGAAAACCCACTTCATGAAGACATTAGAACAATGAACAAGTGGAGTGAAACAGTTGCAAAAATTAAAAATAAACAAATACTTATGTTCGCGTAGTCGCGTAATGGTGAGCTTAGTTTATTGAGGCTAAAATGGAACGACTGAAACGATTTAAATTAAATTAATTTGGAATTATTATACTAAATTGACCAGCCATGCGACCGTGCGAGAAGGTGGTAATGATAATTTCGTAAACAAATATGGCGGCGGTCGGTCACAACGTTGCCGAACCCCCGAAAACGCATCGCCGCGGTGGAGATTCGAGGTAAACCGCCGAATTCCAACGGTTGACCGTCCAAGTCGCCAGTCGGCAAAACCCGAAGTATATCTATCTTGTAGAAAATGTTCCGAAAATCCGCGTTCTTCAGTGTCTGCCACAGTCGTGATGAGACCTACCGTTGGCTGTCTTATGACCACTGAGCCTTGCGGTAAAATGTGATGAAGCATCATGAGATTTAGTTCAGGAGTACGGACCCACTCCAGGGTGCACGACGGCCGTTTCCTTGGCTCCTTGAGGGCGCCTCGCCGGTCAGCCCGACCCTTACTTACCTGCCTGCCTACCTGCCTACCTGCCTGCCTACCTACCCACCTACCCACCTACCCACCTACCCACCTACCCACCTACCCACCTACCCACCTACCCACCTACCTACCTACCTACCTGCCTTCTTACGAAGGAAAAAAAATATCAACAGACGATGATTTCGATTCTGTAACTTGGCTTCTAATGGAAAAATGCCGACAGTTAACAAATTTGATATTTTAACATAGCTTTAAAAAAAATAAATCAGATAATGCATACTCTTGTACATCATGTTTGTCTGTGATCTGTCAGGTGCCTCGATGCTACCATTTAAAAATCGGCCTTTAAATGTATGTGGAAAAATACATGGACAGAGTTGAGAATGCCAGGTCAAACGGTTCTCTTGGTGGCACAGTGACCCTGGAGCCGTTCCTGTCAAAAAATGAGCGTTTTGAATTTTCAAATTTTTGGGCATTTTCGAGTTGATTTATTAGTCGTTTCCTATGCTCAATTAATTAAAAAAAAAAAAAAAAATCCAGAGATATCAAGAGTATTAATCTTATTGATCTACACCTAATTTCTTGTGTAGGTAACAGGCCCATTCCTTACTTAGCCAACTTCCTTGATATTTTTCAACTTTGAACATATTTTTCACGAAATTAAAAATAATGTCCTCTCATTTTTTCAAATCTTAATATCCTTCTACTTTCAAAATTTTCCTGAAAAATTACATTGTAACTAATGCTCTGACTGTTCATGTGTGCCAGGCAGCTTATTTGGTTCTTTATGTGGCTCTCCCTCCTTCCCATTTTCCTATCTATAATTTCATTCATAGAAGGTTCATTTCCCCATTTTTGTGATGTATTATTTTTTGATTTCCTTCGTTTTCCAGGTGTAACGATCAGTTCATCACAATCTATCCAGCAGATGTTGTTTTATTTGAGGGTATCCTTGTGTTTTACTTTCCGGAAATCCGTGACTTATTTCACATGAAACTGTTTGTTGACACGGACTCTGACACTAGATTAGCTCGAAGAGGTATGAAAACTGATGGAATACTTTAAAATGAATGATCCCCTCATAATGCATGGATCAAGAATTTAAGGAAATAAAAAGCCATTAGAAATGATTGGTATTGATGAAGAAACACACCTTACTGATGTTGGAGGTATAGATTTCTTTGACATAAATCGTTCAAAAAATAAAAACAAGAACCAATCAACAGCAACTCGACTGACAAACTTTGATCAATTTACAGGTTTGTCGATTGAATCTCTGTTGTTCAAATCATTGTCGATTGGTCTGAATTTTTATTTTTTGATCGATAAGTGTTGATGGAATCCATACCCTCAGTTCCAATCGGTGTCGATGAAGTTGCTGTGGATCAAGTCCCTATCAATCAGTCCAGGTTTTTTTATTTTTGGATGGTCTCATGTCGATCAAATCCATACCCTCCATTGTTGTTGGCACTTTGTTAGTATTTACATGTGTGAAACCCAAATTTTTATTGCTTCCAAAAATTCCTAGAGAAGAAGCCAAGTCACGCATCCTTTTTTCATTCGAAGTCAAGTTCCTAATGTACTACTTAAGCATGTTGTAAGTCAAATTGGTCAATGAAATTTAAAATCTTATTTCTTATTAAAGAACTAGCAGGAAACCCCCACAATCAGTAATCATCGTGATTAGTGATCAGGTACAAAATTTTGTCTCCGGATTTTTATTTTCTTTTTCAAATTTCTCTTTTTTCAGTTCCTCGAGATATTAATGAAAGGGGTAGAGATATAAATCAAGTTTTGCAACAATACATGAATTTTGTCAAACCAGCCTTTGAGGAGTTTTGTCTTCCGGTAAGATGTTTCATGCAAAATATTCCTGTCTAATTGAAATTTTAAACAAGTCGGTCGTTTAAGAATTATGAGTTCACGAATGACGTTTCCAATGCTCGTGCTGGGCACTGGATGATGTTCTCCCAGTATAGTGTAAAGTCTCCAAGTTCGTACTTTAATTCTATTTTTTTAAATTATAAGGGTTCGAAAAAATGAATGATAATTTAGGTATTCCTTTGTAACCACTGCAGTCCTTTTCTTTAATTATTGTCCCAGTTTGATTGTTGCCATCTTGAAGTTTGGTGACGTCAGGCAGGTACCAGTTTTGCCAGGCGACTATCGAATCTATAGCGCGTAGCCGGCGCGGTGTAGCGCGTGTTTCAAATCTTCGCCTGTTCTCATCAAGATGAGGATGCGAAGCATTGTGTGATAAGTGAGATGAGTTATAAATTATCCGTCACATCCCTTCATAGGAATGTGCCTGTTCAAGCTGAATTCAGTTTTTTATTTCTGAATGATGAAAGAATCTCAAAGGATCGAAATATGACTAATTCTTACCGACAACTTGCAAGATAACACCCTGATGAGGTCCTGTCTCCTCTAATTGAGTTGTGAATTTTTCCAGTATCATTGCAATATCAGTAGGTAGAGTACCTATTAGTGGCACCCAGTGTCACTGTATGTCATACATGTTTGATGTAGGTAATTCTCATCCAAATAAGAGAAGAATACATATTTACCTTCATTACCACCAAGTAGATGAAAGTTCCACTGTGAACTTAGTTGGCCAATAAAAATGCAAACAACGAAGCAATTTTTTTTTTTATTTCCTAACGCTAAATGGTAAGAATTCCAAGGCATAGTAAAAACTGTATTTATCATTCCTCAATCAATACAAGGTTGACTGTTCCCATGGAAATGATAGTACATTAGTTGGCTTATCTATTTTTCTAAACTTAAGATTAAGTTGATGAAGGTAGCAGGTTATCGTCAGCAAGAGCTGTTAATATATTTAGTTTAGAATGGTCTATTTTTAATTCTTCCAGAGGAGCATTATTAGTATTTAATACAAAACTCTCAGGGCTCTCCGTGATACTATGCCACCTCTTATCAAGAATGTTTATGCTAATGTTGTTGCTATTATGGTGATGGAAGAGATAATTTTGGTAAAAATCGGACAAATATGTGGATGCCAAGTTTATAAGACAATCTCGCAAACCAAAGTGAAAATTGTTTTATGCCGCTGCAATTTTCAGCCTCGCGCTAGGTTCTCGCAAGAACGTTAGCACAATACACTAATCAAAATTTTGTGGAATCTCTTGTTAATTTTAGAACGTGTGCCAAAGTCACAGTAAGTATTCCACAAGAATTGCAAATCTGAAATTGCAGTAAAATATTTATAGCATAACTATTTCATAAATATTTGCAGCATATTTATGAAAATAAACAGCAAAACCAACAGTTAAATTAGATGGAAGTTTAAAATAATGTATAATTTTATTAACATCAGGGAAAGAACCACTCCTGTTGATGGTGAGTTCATGAAAGCCTGTATCTTGGTTTGGGAAATTGTAAATTTCCTGTCACATTTCACTCTTTTGGACGATTAACGATAATCATTTTATCATCGCTCACAATCTTTACAATTTTTCTTTGCTCCTCTGAAAATTTGTCCCAAAATCTTGCCCAAAAATGTCCGAAAATACGCCCTTAAAGAAATATAATTCGGCTGAAAATTTTGGAACTTAGCAATGGAGGTAAAATGTCACGTAGTTTCACTGTAACTGCAGTTACCGAATCCTTAGAATAATTTTGTACCTTTTATTTGCAGACCAAAAAATTTGCTGATGTCATTATTCCCCGAGGAGCGGACAATATTGGTAAGTAATTTTTAAAAATTCAACTACTCATTATGGTTCCTGCATTTTGTCATATTTTTATCAATCATTATCATGCCCTCTTATTTAGATTTCTAAAAATACTTGGACTGAGCACCATAGAAAGGAATACATCCATTTACCTCCATTTTTGAAAGAAATTGAGTCATTCTTTGTTCTGAGCTCAATTGGTTGCTGAATTAGCCGGATCAAAAATTTTCCCATGTGGCAGATATTCAAGATTGATAGTGATTGGCAAGTAGGTAGTCAATTTATTGTCATGAATCTGCTATTTATTGATAAACCTGCTGTTTATTTTCTTAAATCTGCCAGTTGTTCCTGTGAAACTTCTCCTTAGTATCAATCATATTCCATAAATGAAATACAATCTTGCTTTGAATAGAAGATTTTTGACTATCAAGTAGCAATTCAATAGGCAAGTGTGTACTCTTTATAGTTGATAAATTTCTGTTTTCTAATGATTCATCACTATTGATTTCTGATTTTTGCACATAATGTATTGTCATTTTTTTTGGGGTGGGGGGAGGGTTGTCTGGGGTTTCCTTATTTCTCAAATTGATTCGAAAAAATAATGCCTGCAATTCATTATTGACTTCATACTATTAGCATCAAATCAGAGATTAAGATACAATTCTTCTACTTTGCAACAGAGTGTCGATTAAAAGAAAATCAAAGGAGGGGTATCGATAAGGGCCTTTTTTGGCCCCCCCATAGAATCTGGAAATTTAGGCGGGTTTTCCAAGTTAACTCAATGTAGTTTACGGAAATAATCGTGCTTTAGTCCATAGGTCACTGGATACGTGTTAAACGGTTGCCTAAACATAGGTCTGCAGGCGTATTTTAGCGAAAATTCGTGTTTTTCTATCACTTTGAGCGCATCGTCTAACTAAAACGAGCCTTTGATATGTTATCAAGGAGGCTTTAGGACACATTGTAATCCTGGTTTGGTTTTAGTTAGATGATGCGCTCATAGATAAAAAAACTTTTTCAAAAATCGCTGGTCACTTACATTTCTGCCACTGCTGTAGTTTAAGTGGCTTCTTAATTGGATAGTACCTTAGTAGCATTGATTGTTTCCGGATTCGGAAAATGGAAGGAAATATACTGAAATGCATATATTAGGAAACCTTTTTTTCCAAAATAAAAAAAGGAGGAAAATAGGTTTGAAAAACAATCTTTAGTTTGCAGGATTCTGAAAATTGTCTCTAATATTGCAAAGTAAGGGATGTATATAACTTAAATTGATGTACATTCTTTGATAAAATTCTATGAAATAAAGTGACGGAGTAAAAACGATTAAATTCAGAAACCAAAGCCACCTTTTTTCTCAAAAGGAAAGATAATTTTCTAATTAGATCATACTAACACTTTGTTGTGAGTTCTTTCTCATTTAAATTCACAAGTTTTTCTAACTTTTTTATGATGATATTCAAAATTTCTACCACAATGGCTAGCTAATTTTATATATCATCGATTCAAAGGCAAGATCAATTGCCCTTGAGAAAGCTTGCTAATTTGAAGGAGTGAATGTATTCGTTGTTCTTTGTTAGTTTTAATTGTTTTATGCCCAAGCGGCTTGTTTAACTGTTTAGTAATTCCAAGAGGACAAGCAAAAATGCTCTATGATTTGAAAAGTCAGTCAAACGTTCTGTAATTTGAAGTTTCTGGACCATTTACTCTACAATTCGAAAACCATCTTGTTCTGTTACCATACTGAAGCATATAGTAGAGTTGCTAGTGTAAATTTGTCTGCAGTATTGTGAAAAGAGTGAGTTCTATACATCAATCTCTTCGTCTTGATACGTAGAATCAGATTTTCGATGGTGTCAAGTTCAAAAATCAATCCGGCGCCCCCCATTCAAGATGGCGCCCAAAAGGGGCGCCGGGGGGTTGAAAAATTATAAATTTTCCTACAGAGTCGACTGAGGTGTCGATTCCTATGTAATTTTAGTCGTAGAATCCGAATTTCACATTCAAAAAATCCTCCGACCTAAGGGGGGGCCCCAATTCCAAGATGGCGGCCAAAATGGGCCCCTTGGCGGGAAAATGGCCGTAGATGGCTGTATATATTGTATGACATATCCGCAGATAGGTTTTCTGGGTCGAGAATAACGAATATGAAGTCAGAAATTGTGCTAGACCCTTCGGGGAGGCTCAGGGTGCCCCCCCAAAATGGCCGCCGGGGGTCCAAAAATTTTAAAATTCCTTAATACCCCGAGTGGGATGTCTATTCATAGGTAATTTTGGTCGTAGAACTCGAATTTCACATTGAAACGGTCATCTAGTCTAAGGGAGGGCCCCAAAATCCAATATGGCGGCCAAAATTGACTTCATGGTGGGAAAATGACCATAGGTAGCTTCATACGCCGTATGAAATAGATGCCAATAGGTTTTATACGTGGGGAATTTCAAATATAAGATAAGAAATTGTTCTTTACTCATCGGGGAGATACAGGGGGTGAGGAGGGGGCCCCAAGGCCTTCTCCTCTCCCCCTCGAAGCTCAAAATCTTCCATCCAGAGGCTTTAAAATTCTGAGTAAGTAATTAAAATGAATGTCAAAACAGACATGGACAAGGAACACTGAGCCGCTGAGATAAGTTTTAGAAGAAAATAGGGTAAATCGCTAAGGAGCAATCGCGAGTTGGCAGCCCCCTCCACCCTCTGGACATGAAAATTTCAATGGTTTTGCCTTCTCATTATTTTTATCGGTCATGAATTCATTTTGACGTGCCCAACTGCCCATCCCCACTCTTTTCTTTGCAAGCGGATTCCTAAGCTTACATCTCAAGTGGGAATGTGTCTTGGTTACGGGAAGAAAAGTTCCTCGATCTGATCCCAATTTGAAACGTAGCCCGTCTTTTGAAAGCTTCCACTCTTCTTGAATTACACGCTCCTTATTCAGGTGCCGATATCACCGGATCTTTCATAAATAAAGGTTAACTGACAAGGTGGAAAACCTAAATGAATAATGCAAGCAATAACGTGTTGGAACCTCTCGCGAAGTTGGGCTCCGGATTTTCTCTCGCCGAAGAGATTAGACAACACCTAGAGTTGGTACGTCAACGATGTGCTCCAACAACAGCTCTTAGAGATTTAGAAGAAGCAAGGTAGTAGATTTTCTCAAAGAAACAATACCAGGATGAAAACCTCCCATTGACTAGACGGACCCTGTGTTTCTTAGAGCTCACCTCCAGGCGTCCATATTTTGCATCAAGACGTTAGGCAGCCCCTGGCATTGTAATCCAGATTTAAATTGTGACAGGAAAAATATTGGAGAAAAAGTCAGTTAAGTCGTATGCTCTGGGCCACACTCAAAAAATTTTTTCTTGAGATATTACTTTGACTTGAAGCGTTGTTTCTGGTCAACAACACTTGGTTTTTTGCGTTAAATTCTTGTGGATTGTACTTAAAACCTGTTATTTGGAGTTAAACAAACGTTGTTTCACTATCTTTTTTAACTTGAACTTAACCCTAGCAAAACAACGTTTGTTTAACTCAAAAAAACCAGATTTTGTCCATAAGAAACTCATTGTCAGTCAATATGATATCCTAAGAAAAATTGTTTAGTGCATGTGTTCCAGAGCGAGACTCTTCACACGACAGAGAGGCGTTATTTTTCTGTCTTATAAGTCAATTGAATTTTCATTCTGGTCAGTGAAATGTAACTTAATTTATTTTAATGTGTTTAAGGGGAGTTATATCTATTCAAATTTATAATTATATATTTTGGTTGTTCTTACCAAAAAAACTCCATTCGATTTTAAATTAATAAAGTTTGATTCGAATAACACCATTTTAATATTAGTTTTGAAGTATAACCAAGGTAATGTAATGATCGTTTTTTATTAATTTACTTGGGACCTTTCAGCATTATAACTGTGATATATTTATGTATTAATGACTGTACTCTGAAGATGGCGAAATGCTGAATCGTCCTAAGTAAATTAATAAAAAACGATCATTACATCACCTTGGTTATACTTCAAAACCAATTTTAAATGTTTAGGTTTTTTTTTAGGGCGTACATGTGCGTCTTAATTTTATTTTACTTATGGAAAGTTGACCATGCGACAACAAAATTTCGGTAACATCCACTTTCCGAAAAACTCGGCCACTGGAGCCGAGATTTTTGATCCCTGCGGCCAAAATTCGGAAACTACGCATAGCTATGCCGGGCTTTGGGCAATTTTAACGAATTTTATCAGCTGGGACCACTCATTTTGGCCGCAGTTGCCAAGCTTTTCGGGATTTAGATACTGTCGAACACTTCTTGTATTGTGTATTTGAAATTTTTTGCCTGATTAAGTACTTTGCGATGGTTTATCATTACTCACTTTTGGCTGTAGAGGAAATATCTTGGGTTTCTAAGCCCCTTAATGAAAGTACTTTAAAAAAAGTACTGTTTGTTGATTCAATGCTTTGAAGTATGTAATGCTTGGCCTGTGTTTTTCAATCTATGAATTTAGGTTTGAATGATCTGCCATGCTATGCCTGTTTTATTGATTACTTTCGGAAAGTTACGGCTACTCCCAGAATAATCCTTGAATTTATGAGATATTTTGCATCAATCTCACTTCATTTTTAGTTTGAAAAAGAAGTTGTTCGTGCCCCTTTACTCATTCACATGGTATTCTGAATCATAATCTGAAAACCATAAAACATTTTTCGGAAGCACCCGCACCCCGGAAAACTCGCGACCTGGAACTGTTATTTTTGGTTCCAGCTTCCGCAATACGACAAAAGTGCTGAAAGTTAGGCACTAAGTTTGTGATGGACTTTCGGTAGTTTTGCCGACTTGCTATACCCAGAAACGAAACTCTTGACTCCTAATTCCGACTTTTTCAGGATGAAAATATTGCAGGAAATTGGCTTACCGTGAACTTGGCGTTTAATTTCCTATATAATTTCCTACAAAATTTCCAAATAGTTCAGCTTTCCACAAGCCAAAATCACTATCTCAGATTTACGGAAAGAAAATTCC